GCTTCCCAACCTCTTCATCGACTACCCTCCAACGTTTCAGGGCGAGGTTACACTTCTTCTGCCTCACTGGCTTGACTAAAGGGTCGGTGTTCAATTTGTGAGTTATAACTTTTGAATCAATTCCAAGCATTTATGCCGCGGACCAAGAAAAAATATCCAAGTTTTTTAGTAAGAAGCTTACTAGCTGGGAGTGGAGTGGTTTGTTGATCGAGGTACCGATCTGGAGAGTCTTGGCTGGTTCGTCAACAGAGACTGGTATGCGGACCGTCTCATCTGTCGGGTAGCTCGCTTGTTGGGGTACTTCATAGGTTGCTCGAGCTCGACATCTTCTGCTAGCTTCACCTTCCCTTTAAGAGCAGCTACGTAGCATTTGCGCGATTCGAGTTGGTCACCTCGCACGACTCCCACCCCGTAATCAGTTGGGAACTTCATCGCCAGATAGTAAGTGGATACTACCGCACGTAGAACATGCGTGATGGGCCGACCTACTATGGCGTTGTAGGGGGAGGGAGTCGCAACTACCAGGAAGGTGTGTTCAAACCGTATGATGTTTGGCCACGTGCCAGCTTCTACAGGTATTGTGACTCACCCAAGAGGTTTGACCTCTTCACCGCTAAACCCTACTAAAGGGGTGTTTGCTGGTTTCAAGTCGCTCTGCTGTAGCTATAATTTATCGAAAATCTCCTTGAAGAGTATGTCGGTCGAGCTGCCCGAGTCTACCAATATCCGCTTTACTTCGAAGTCATTGATCCGCAGCTTTACTACCAAGGCATCGTCACGAGGATACTGGATCCCGCGTGCATCGTCCTCAGTGAAGTATATCGGTCCTTCAAGCTGAGGTCATTTTGGCGGGTTTTCCTCTTCGTTTTCTAACTCACGCACCAAGGTCCTCCCAGCTACCGATGTACACCCCGCGATGATGGACCCGCCGGTAATCATGTAAATTACCCCGCAGATCGGTCTCTCTTCTGGCAACTGTCGTGGCGGTTGCTTGTTTTGCCTACTGGCTTCTGGGGCATTCCTCTGATCTCCCTGTTAGTCTGCTTGCCAATCTGTCTGTCTCCTTTCTTCGCGTAAGATGAAATTCTTCAAGTATTCGCATTGGATGAATTCCTCGATCTCATCGCGAAGGTTCCTGTAGTTCTCTATATTGTGCCCGTGATCTCAATGAAAGTGCCAATAAATGTTTGGGTTTCTTGCTGCTGGGTCTTCCCTTAACCTGGGAGGCCATTTGACGAAGGAGGAATCCTTAATGGCCATTAGGATCTCTCCTCTTTTAGCATTCAAGGGTGTGTAGTTCGTTCTCTCCACAAGAGTGGTCCTAGAGCGCTGACCTGATTTACGAGATCGCGAGGGGGACCGAATTCTAGAGTTGTTTCTTCCCCTGCTCGGGGACTTGCTTTTCCTCCTCTTCTGTTCGCCACTGTTCATTCCTTCACTTTCTCTCTTCCTCTTCTTCAGTGGTGGATTATCGACCTTCTGATTGATCTCCTCCTCGGTGCCAATGAATTGATCTGCGAGCTTAAGGAACTCGGTAATGCCCTTCGGTTTGTTTGCTACAACATGCCATTTAAACTCCTTGTGGGTAATTCCCTTCTTGGCTGCAATGAGTCTCACTGCCAAGTCGAGGTCTGGTATCTATAGGCAAGTGTCATTGAAGCATTTGAAATAGCTCCTGATCGATTCTCCTTCCCTTTGAACCACATTGAGAAGGCTTTCCTTGGACTTCAGACACTTTTTGCTGGTGATGAAATGTGTAGTGAACAAGTCAGCGAACTGCGACCAGCTTTTGATTGAGCCCGGCATGAGGTTCCGGTACCAAGTTTGAACTACCCCTTTAAAGGTAGTAGAGAAGGCTACACACATGCAAGATTCATCAGCCCCAGTTAGGTGCATCTGGGACTGGAAAGAGTCCACATGGTCGTTAGGATTGAAGGACCCGTCATACTTGTCTAATGGGGGCATCTTGAAGTCTTTTGGCATCGAGGCCGCCAAGAGCTCAGGAGACAAGGGAGATGACCTGCAAAGTAGTGGAGCGGTCTTTGTAGCCACCGAACTCGCTTCTTCCTTCCCTTTGGTTTGCTCTTCTCGTTGGCTTGGCTTTGCTGGCGGGCTATTCTTGACCGAGGTACGGCATGTCTTGCGACGTCTCCGCTACTACTTCTTCATTGACTCGACATTGGTGCTAATGACTTCAGTTCGATCTAGTACTGCGGCCCTGTTGCGAGGCAGATCCTAGTTTCTCGAGGGATTCTGGGGCTGACTATCACGGGGAACGGAGAGGTCCTGTCTCGAGTTTGCACCTCGAACCTCGAACTGGTTATCTGCTCGCGAGCCATCATTCTCTTGCTGTGAGTGTCGAGGCGGATTCAGTTGACTATTCCCAGACCTATTTATAAAATTTCTTTGCGAGGCCGGTGGAGTGTGTTGACTGTCTCTCCTCCCTCGGGGTGAGACCTGACTCCTGAGAGGAATCAGTGCTTGTGAGGTCTCTTCGCCCCATTGGGGGGGATCGGTTGATGTTCTGGTTAATCCCAAGGCGATTTGGGTTTTGACCGTGATGGATCCCTGGGTGCTAAGGTGGGACCGGTTGCTGGTTTGGCTGTAGTGGGGGGAACTGGTGTTGATATTGCTAGTAGAAGTAATAATGCTGGTACTACTGAAATTGCTGAAACTGCTAAACCTGCTGCATCTGGATCTGAATAGCCCGAACGCACTGAACGAGGTCGTGGAACTAGTAACTCCCCATTCTTGGAGGAACCACGGAGGGCTTGGAGAAAGTCACGCCTACCACTGGGGGAAGCAAGGTGCTCACCTGTGCGGTGCTCGGTGGTGTAGTTAGCGATGAGACTCCAGACACTGTGAGCGGAATGGTGAATTGTCTGATGCACACCGTAGGAGCTGGAGGATGCCATTGAAGTTGAAGTTGAGTTGAAGCTGCAAAGAGGTAGGAATGACCTTTCGATCGAATTTCCACAGACGGCGCCAATTGATGGTGCGTGATCTAACTACTCCTACCTGGAGGGCGATCCAGACTCCAGGTGGACAGCGAGCTAGATCGGTCTGCAAAGCAATCTATCAGAGAACCTGTGGTAGCTAACCCGGCGAGGTCGCTCCAATGCTTAAGTCAGTAAGTATGCTATAAATGCGAGCTGAATGCTTGAGAGCTTGAGTGCTAGAGAGTAGAGTAATCACACGTACCTTTGCCTTGAGGTTTCTGTCTTTATATACTGGAGTAGTCGTGGGTCTCACGAAAGAGCTCCGGGATCTCTAGGGTGTGGAGATAAGGTTCGTTCCGCTTTTGGAGGAGCGGTATGTAGATAAGGCTTATCGAGCTGAGCTCGATCTCAAGGTTCTAGCTTGAATCGAGCTTGAGCCTATTACTACCTTAGTGACCCAAGCTCGAGCCTCGTACTATTCAGCACAACTCAGCTCAAATCCAACCCTATCGACAGGTAGGGCTGCAAATAAGTCAAATCCGATCCAATCCAAATCCAATACCGATCCATTAAGAGGCGGATTCAGATATCCCTGTTGATCCTAACAAATCGGATCATATCAGAAAAGCCGATCCGTTAACTTAATGGATCAAATTCAAATATTGGTTGATCCAATCCGTTAATTATGAAATATTATATATTTTAATTTATTATTATATTATATTATATCATTTATATTACATAATATAAATATAATTATAAATTGAATCGAATATCTAATAATACATTCAAATTTGAATTTGAATCATGCTTTTGAAAATCCGACGGATCCTTATCGGATTCAGATAGTTGGATTTTCTTAATAGATCGGATCGGATATGCCCTTACTGAATCCGATCCAATCTGCTTGTAGCCCTATTTGCAAGCCGACCTGTGAATGCCCCAAAAAGGGTTAAGTTAGCGTAAGAGGCAAGTTGCTCCCACTAACCTAACTAAGACCCAATTGGCAACCTACACATGATGGGCAACCTCTTTCACGAGTGGGTTATCATCCCCGACTCCTTTTCTCGTTGACGGAACTAACTCCTGTCCTGCTTGGAGGCAACTGGATAAGCACTACCGCTTTACGTGGAATCCAACTCTAGGCATGAAACCACCTCTAAGCGAGATGGATCAATGATTTCGGACATGCTACATGAAGCCCATGGAACCTCCACCTATATAAAGGTACCCCATTGAGCTAGGGCTGCAAATAAGTCTTATCCGATCTGATTCGAATTCGATACCGATTCGTTAAGAGGATTCGAATATCCCTCTTGACCCTAACAAATCGGATCAGATCAGAAAAGCCAATCCATTAATTTAACCAATCGAATTCGGATATTAGTTTATCCGATCCGCTGTGACCCAATCTCATCTATTAATTATGAAATATTATATATTATATATTATTTAGATATTATATGTATACTCTATATATTATTTATATATTATATATTATATATTTTAATATATTATTATGTTATATAAATAATATAATATATTATTTATATTACATAATAAATATAATTCTAATCGAATCGGATATCCGATAATACATTCAAATTCGAATTTGAATCATGCTTTTGAAAATCCGATGGATCCTTATCGGATTCGAATCCGTTGGATTTTCTTAACAGATTGGATCAGATATACCCTTACCGAATCTGATTCAATCTGGTCCGTTTATAGCCCTACATTGAGCAGAAAAGGCAGATGCGATTTAGCACTCTTTTCTCTTGCTCTCACTTTCTAACTTTTACCATTCACTTAATACTAACTTAAGCTTCAGAGTGCCCATCCAAACTGTCATATAGCAAGGAACAACCAGATCGCACAACATCATGATCATTTACCCTCCAAACACAATTCTTTGGTTTCAGTCAATTTTGATCAAAGAATTCTAATTCAACAATTTTACCGGAATAACAACCCTACGGTCAAGACATTGGTGCAAGCCACTAAAATAATACAGATTCCATTACATTGCTTGCAAACTTATAAGAATCAAAAACCTTAAAATGACGAAGAAAATACCAAAATTGCTTGTAATTGCCATCCATTTTTTTCAGAGCAAAAAGTAAAGGAAAAACATTTGTTGATTTAACACTTGAAAGCTGAAACTTCTAAAATATTACAGAGAGAAAAGATGGGCAACTGAAGCTGAAGGGGAACTCTTAATACCATCACCCAAATGACCCAAATGAAAATGAAGAAATCTGTATGCTACAAAGGAAAAAAAATAATAATATACATTAACATCAAAAAATCTTTTTGGTCCTTGAAGCGGCTATCGTGTGCACAGCTCCTTCGTTCTGCGCCACGCTCGTCTCACCTGATTACTTCTAACTTCCTTTTCTCCTGCCGAGATTGTGTATCTAACAAATTCAACCTATTTAATTCCTGTGGCTTTGGTCCCATCACCGCAGAGCATTGACAAAGGCCAACAAAGAATCAACATCCCTCTTCTCAGAAAGGTACTTGATCGGCCTAGAAGAATGCTTGGGGAAGAAAAGTATAGTGGGGAAGCTCCTCAGCTGTAGCTCTTGCTTCGCAAATTCCTTCTGTTCCCCATCTGCCGTGAACTTCCCTACTTTAACCCCTGTTCCAGCCAGCTTCTCTGCCAATTCCACATATGATCCCTCCATCGCCTGTCCAAATTGAAGAAGATATTCATTGATCAATGAACATATTATAAGACCCACATAATAAGGAGGCTAACTACGATTTTCCTTTTTTAACAGCAGAGCTATAGATGTTCTGCCAAAGAATTAATACCTGGCAGAAGCGGCACCAAGGCGCATAAAGCACAACCATCCAAGGCTCTCTTCTGTCCTTCAACCTGGCCAGGTTCTCTATCCCAGTCCTACTCAGGTTGACCACATTTTGGGAGTTGAAGATGTCAGCTACGGTGGCAGCGCCATTGCTGTGGGCAGGGGCAGCAGCCCCATTTCCATTAGCGTTCTGGGGAGCGACTTCCTGTTTGATGTTACCCTTGTGAAGGCCACACTCCTTAGCCTTGGCGTCCTCCCACCACCATCTTCCCTCCCTCTCGTGCTGCCCCGGCAACACTGGCCTGGTGCATGGCTCACACCCAATTGAGATGTACCCCTGAGAGTGCAGCGAGTTAATGGGCACGTTCATGGTCCGGAGGAAGTTCCACACGTCCCGTCCTTCCACATTCGCCAATGGGTTCCACTTAATGAGGCTGCTGCCGACCCCACCATCCATCCCCTCAAAGGATGGATCCACCTGAACGACGGGAATCTCAGCTCGGGTGCCAGGGGATTGGTCCTTGCGCTGCCCGGTGATCCAAGCACGAAGCCCCTTGAGGGCCCTCCTGAGGGGCCTGACCTTCCTCACTCGGCAGCACTCCTGGTGTCCATCCTCGTAGAAGGAGAAGAGCCCCTTGCTCCTGACAAGACCCTGCACCTCCACTGCATCCGGGAACATGTACTCGACGCGTATGTCGTAATGCTTCTCGACGGTGTCGAAGAACCGGTACGTCTCGGGGTTGAGCCTTCCTGTGTCCAAGCTGAACACCCTGAACGGTCGTCCCGTCAATTTGGCATACTCGATCAAGGCCACATCCTCAGCTCCACTGCACGATACCCAGAACAAGTGAACAACCACCACAGGTTTACGCTTTTGCAATTCAAATATTACTAGATGATGTAATGGTGGGTGTATTTGTAATTTTATGTGAAATCGACGGTTGAGGTAAGGTTCTTCCTAAATTCCTATACACGGATATCCCTCAGATTACATGGAATATTCGGCTTCATCAGAACAGATTAGTGGTTCATAATTGAGATAGAAATAGAATCTTCATTACCTGAAAGCAATAGCGATATCATTTCCGAATTTCTCCAGGGCTTTATCCATAATCTCAAGAGGAGATGCGTTCTCCAGATCCTTGGCTAATTGCTCGTAGTCCACCTTTTCATGATCCTCTTCGTCCTTCTGTGACACCTCTGCAAATATCACACATAGGGGTAAAGCAGTCAAAACGCATTTCGTAAACGAAAACACTTTTTGATTTAACGCGTCCTCCACACACGATGGAGAGACGGAATCTAGTCTAGCAGATGAAAAAAGAAAAGAAACCCAGAGGATATTGAAAGGCCAAAAACAAGAAATATACCTGGAGCGACGATGGTTGACGCGAGAGGGACGATGAAATCGCTCCGTTTTGGTTCGGCGCGAACAGGCCCGACCAAGCATCGCCTGTGGGAATAATTCACCATTGTTGATGGAACCACATATCGGTCTGCCGGTCGGAAGGAACCGATCTGCGGAACTGGGGGGAAGATGGGAATGAGTTAGTTAGAAAAATTAAACGATAAAAACAGGAAAATAAAAGGACAAGTTTGACATTATCAAGCAAACATAGCAACTAAACCAGATTGGTCGAAGAGCCAGTTTCTGCCTAAAGCTAAAGTTGGCACCTAAATGGATTCGAAGTCATGATTGACATTATTCTCAAAAAATATTCAAAATATCCGAAAAGTATTAAAACAAATGAAAAAATAATTTGAAACAGAATGAATCTAAACTTCATTTCCCCAGATAATGGGAGCGTATGTAGCAAAACTGCAAAACAAGAAAATCAGCAATAATTAACAGCAAAAGAGCCAGAGAAATAACCGAAGATGGCCGAAGGGGAACACAACAAATGAAAAATTGGGAAAAAAAGACATAAGAGAGAGTACTAGACTCATTATCGAAAACGAGAGAAGAAGAATCAAGAAATAAGAATACGAAATACCTTTTACGAGCTCATGGGAAGAGAGAGCGCGCGAAGAAACAGAACCAGCAATCGAAGTAGAAGCAACAGCAGCAGACAATGATGCCATGAGAGGTTCCGAGAGAAGAAGCTCTATGCCTATCTTGTCTCTATTTCCCTTTTATTAGTTTTTTTTTTTTTTCTTCTTCTAATTTTACGTTTAGCGGCTTTTAGCCTTGGAGCTGTTCTATCTACCAGGAGATGAAGGGGGTTAAATAATAATCGAAAATCGAAATCAACTGAGAAAATTGCGTTTTTGGAGATTCATTGAACCTGAACGGTCTTTCTATGGCAAAGCACGTACATTCACGTGTCAAATTCCTATTGGTTAAATTGGATGAACGTCGCTGCTTCCGTCACTTGGCAGGCCAGAGATCATCCTGTTTGACAATCGTGGACTTAAAATATGCCTTCCATAAAATCCGAAAAGAAATGAATAAAGAAAAGGGAACGAGAGTGATTTGAGCACACCCAGTATAGGTGTGCAAAGAGTACAAATATGCAGTGCAATTGTGCAAAACCTTTGGGGATGCGTTGGATTTATCAAAATGGTAAGTGCTCAAATCAAATCAGTGAGAAAGGAAAAAGAGTCAAATGTTTTGGCTCAACCTTAACGCATCCGATGACGATTTGACATCTGATAAAAGAGGAAAATGCACGGAAGCATAACGGGACCAACACTACGTGCATAGATCATCTATGACATATAAATGGCAAAAAAAATTAGGAACATATAAAAAAAAAAAGACTTGGATGGGAGTAATAAGAACTGATTTAAGCATTTAACATGATAAAATGGAGAAATAGGATTGAACATGATAATTTAGCAGTTAGCATTGAACATGATAAAATGGAGAAATAGGATTCATGTAATTGTTGGGTTTTCCTCTTCATGTAGAGATGAGACCCATTCATGTGTTGGAGTCTCTTGTCCAATACATAATTTGAGAGTTGGAAACAAAGACAAAGTTCAGTTGACACTCTCTATATTCATTCGTTAGTGAGAATGAAACAAGTTGTTTTGTCTTGGTTCATGTTAGTAGATTGTGGGATTTATTCTCGGCTATCTTTTGTCTCTCTCTATAAGCCTCATTTTGTCTTACTGTAAAGAGTCTTTTGGCATTTTAAATATGTTGATATCCTCTTATGAGAAAAAGAGAGTGGGAAAAGGTAATTCCTCATTTTACAAGAAAAGAGATTCAAGCTTCTTGCTATGTAAACAAGAGCACATTCAATCAACTGTTTTGGCTGTTATTTTACACTTATTCTATCAAGCTTTTGTGGAATTTCTTGGCTCTTCAACAATGAATTGGAGAAAACTTGGGCAGCTTTGTTTGGTGAGGTCTTTATCATATTTTGTTGATTAAAATATATCTTGTTTGATGATTGTTGTTGTGTATATATCCAAAAGAGGCTCTTGTTTCTTGAAGTTGCCATTTTCTAGTTAAAACTAGAGAAATTGTAATTCCCATTATGTTTGTTGATGGTGGAAGATTTTTGGATTAGTGCTTCATGATTTTCTTCACATTGGAGAGGTTTTTCATGTTAAAAAAAATGTTGTGTTATTTTTCTTGTGGTGTTTGTTTATCTTATCATTGGACATTATTTATTATTTATCATTTGCCATTTACATTGCTAATTTGCACACCATTAATTACAATGGATTTTTAATCTAAACAAATTGGTATCAAATCTTTGATTGAAGTAATTTGGGTGTGTAAATTATGGATATTGGTACAAGTCGTATGGTTATGCTAAATAGGAAAAAACGGGGCCATTTGGAGACCAAGATTTATTGTATTATAGGGACTTGTATAGACCTATTGAAGGAGAAAAAGCCAAGCCAGAAGGGACACTCATTGAGAAATGGAAGAAAATTGAAAGAAAAGTTGTAGATGTCATTAGATGATGGATTGAGGATAGTGTTTTTCACCACATTTTTACAAAAGCTTCAACGCGCTCTTTGGAAAAAGTTAGAAAACTTATATGAAAAATACAACAAGAAACAAAGTTTTCTTGATTAAAAAGCTTGGGAACTTAAAGTTCAAATAATGTATATCAATTGTGGAGCATTTGAATCAAATGCAAAGCATTATAAATCTGCTCTCCTCTATGAAAATAGTGTTAGATGATGAATTACAAGAATTGTTGTTGCTTAATTCTTTGTTGGATAGTTGAGAGACATTGGTGGTGTCTCTAAGCAACTCCACACCCGATGGAGTTCTCACAATGAGTCAAATTACAACAATTTTATTGAATAAAGAAACTAAAAGAAAGACATTCAGTTCAACCCGAGGAGAAGCACTTCTTATAAAAAATAGGGGAGAAGCAAAAGTAGATATCCGCAACACCATAACAAATCCAAGGGAATGTATAAAGCAAGAAAGGGAATTACATGCTACTATTGCAAGAAGTTGGGACATGTGAAGAATGATTGCATAAAATTCAAGAAATAACAAAAAGAAAAAGAACATTGTAGTTGCTTTCGATGGAGAGTTAATCATTTTCTTAGGATGTGAAGAATCTTGCTTCAATCTTACTTATTATGATATGGATTGGGTAATTAATATCAGTGCCTCCTACCATGATACTCCAAGGAAAGATTTCTTCACTCCATACAAATCTGATGATTTTGGTGTAGTGAAGATGAAAAATATTAACACATCAAAAATTGTGGGGATAGGTGATGTATATGTGACGATATATTCTGGTTGTAAATTGATTCTCAAGAAAGTTAAACATGTTCTAGACCTTTGACTTAATTTAATTTCAGCGGAAAACTAGATTAAGAGTATTTAAATCACTTTGGTAATGGGTGTTGGAAACCTACCAAAGGCTCTCTTGTGGTGGCAAGAGGAATAAGGTGGTTTACTCTCTATAAAACCCAAACACATGTTTGCAAGAATGAGGTAAACATAGTTGAAGAGGTGTCTACAGATTATTATGCATAAGGCCAAGCCGCATGAGTAAAAAAGACCTACAAACTTTTACAAAGAAGCAACTCCCCAACATGATAGGTACACCTTTAATTCAAACAACATAAAGTTTCATTTCAAAAAAAAAAATCTTTCAAAAGAAAACAAAATGTGTTAGAATCAATTCATTTAAATGTGTGTAGTCCTATGGAAGTCAAAAGTGTTTGTAGTGCCTCTTATTTTGTCATTTTCATAGATGATGCATTTAGAAAAGTGTGGGCATAATGAAATACAAAGATGACGTCTTAAAAATATTTAAACAATTTTATGCTAAAGTTGAAAAGAAAATAGGAAAGTCTCTCAAATATATTTGTACAAATAATGGTAGTAAATACATTGGTCCATTTGATGACTATTGCATAAATCATGGCATTAAGCATGAATAGTCCATTCACAAGACACCATAACAAAATGGTGTGGTTGAAAGGATGAACCACATTATTGTGGAAAGAATTACATGTATAATGTCATATGTAAAATTATCAAAACATTTTTTGGGAGAAACAATGCATACTGCATGTTATTTAATCAATTTATCTCCATTAACCCCCTTGAATGGAGATGTGCCAGAAAGAGTGTGGATAGGAAAAGATGGTTCTTATAAATACTTAAGAGTGTTTGAATGTAAGGCATTTATGCACATTCCAAAAGAAGATAAATCAAAGATCGATGATAAATCCAAACAACACATTTTCTTAGGATATGCAAATGAGAAATTTGGTTATATGTTATGGGATCCTATTGAGAAAAATTTGTTAGAAGCCGAGATGTGGTCTTTCTTGAAGACCAAACCATTGAAAACATTGATAAAGTTGAGCAGCCACAACCTCTCAATCTTGTACAAATGAACTATTAGAATTGGATCAAATTCTTCCTCAAGTTGTACATGGTAATGTAAGAGAAAAAAATGAAAATCAAGAAAATGATTGTGATGATAACCACACACAGCATGTGAGCATGGGGAGCAACCCCTCAAGAGCTCCCAAATATGCCACTAATAAGTATGTCCACTAGAAATGCAACCATTAAGAAGGTTTCCACCTGAACAATTTGTTATGCTTACCGATGGAGAACTAGAAAATGAAGATGTGTTGTCTAATGAGCAAAAAGGTGAGTGATAGAAAGCCTTGCAAGAAGAGATGAATTCTTTGCATAACAACCATACATATGATTTGGTGATGTTGCTTAAAGACAAAAAAGCATTCAAGAACAAGTGGGTGTTTAAATTGAAAACTAAATACAAGAATTCACAATCAAGATACAAGACAAAGCTAATTGTGAAAGGTTTTGGGCAAAAGGGTGTTAAGTTTGAAGAGAATTTTTCTCTCGTTGTGAAAATGTTATCAATACGTGTTGTATTGGGGTTAGTTACAAGTTTGGACTTGAAAGTTAAGCAATTAGATGTGAAAATGATATTTCTCCATAGTGATTTAGAGGAAGATATTTATATAAAACAATCGAAAAGATTTAAAGTAAAAGGGAAAAGGCACATCGTATGCAAATTCAAAAAAAAAAAAATTGTATAGGTTGAAACAAGTTCCAAGGCAATATTACAAAAAATTTGATTCATTTATGATGGATCATCAATACACAAGAACGATTTCACACCATTGTCTGTTTGTTAAGAAATTTTCAAATGCCGATCTTATTATCCTTTTGCTTTATGTTGATGATATGTTACTTGTTGGTCATGATGCTAACAAAATTGACAAGTTAAAGAAATGATTATACTAGTCTTTTGCTATGAAAGACGTAGGACTAGCAAAGCATATTTTAGGCATGGATATCTCTCATAATAGAAAAGCCAAAAAGTTGTGGTTGTTACAAGAAAAATATATTGAAAGGTTCAACATGAATAAGGCAAAACTAGTTTGGTCTCCTCTTGCAAGTCATTTTAAATTAAGTTCAAAACAAAGTCCTACAAATGAGAAGGAAAAAAATGAAAAAAAAATCCTTATATCTCAATAGTTGGTAGCTTAATATATGTTATGGTTTGTATATATCGAACATTGCACATGTTATTAGTGTTGTTAGTAGGTTCCTGGTCAATCCTGACAAATAGCATTGGGCAACAATAAAATAGATTTTTCAAGTATCTTCGAGTTTCTTCCGAAGTGTGTTTGAGTTTTGAAGATGGTAAACCTATGTTAGAAGGCTTTACATATATAGACAGTAAATCCACATCAAGTTATCTACTTACCTTTGTAGGGGGAGGAATTTCATAGCAATTTAGATTGCAAAAATATGTTGCATTATCTACCACATAAGCTTAATACATTGCAGTGATTAAAACTTGGAATGAAATGTTGTGGATAAAGAAGTTTTTTACAAGAACTTGGTTTGAAACAAGATATGTTTTTCATTGTGATAGTCAAAGTGCCTTCCACCTAAACAAGAATTTTAGGTTTCATTTTAAGTCCAGGCACATTCATGTGAGATATCATTGGATTAGATATATGTTGGAATAAAAGTTATTGCAACTAGAAAAGATCCATACTAACAAGAATGTTTCAGATATAATGACCTAACAAGGGAAAATCACGAGCTTTGTAGAAACATTGTAGGTTTGAAAGTTGCACACTCCTCATGAGTCAGGAGGGGGAAATTTGTTGGGTTTCTCTCCTCATGTGGAAGTAGGGCCCACTTATATGTTGTTATTTCTCTTGAAGTTGTTATTCTTAGTTGGAACTAGAGAAATTATAATTCCCATTATATTTATTGATAGTGGAAGATTTTTGGGTTAGTGCCTCATGGTTTTTCCTATTCACATTTTAGAGGTTTTTTTATGTTAAAAATTCAGGTGTGATGTTTCTCTTGTGGTGTTTATTTATCTCATCATTGGACATTGTTTATTATTTCTCCTTTATCATTTATATTATTGATTAGATAACTAAGGAGTGGGGAGAATGGTGTGTATGAGGTCCATGAACTTATCACAAAGAGACGCTGAATGATCATCTCAACTATTAGGTCATCATTTATATAATACAATATATAATTTAATACAAAATAACACAATTGTGGGTCAAGACCACATGAACCCAAGACCTAACACAATTGTCATTCATGTTCACGATTTATTGAGAAAGATGCCAGGAGAAATATGAATACTTGAGTTGTTGCTTACCCACTATAAAAGGAGTAAAAGATTAAAGATATGCTTCTCTTTGTATTGGTCAGGTACACTACACATTCAAAGCTTTTTGCAAGTGGTGGTTCTTAAATACATTAGAGTATTATTGTTGAGCGGTGAACCCTTGTATGCATAATGGCACTTTCTTAATTATAAAAAAATATGCATTTCTTGTGTATTTATATTTTGCTTATAATCATTTGACATTCATGTTTATTATTAGTAATGGTTTCAAAGGAAATGTTTAATAATATTAATGGAATTGTGGGATTCATATAAGTTTCCGTAATTTGTTCATACATTTCCAAAGCATTTATCTTCAAATTGCCTCTGTCATATTCTTTAGAATCTTTACAATAGCAATGCTTAATTTGAACCTTGATATGGATGTATTATATTGGACCCTACACCTTTACTTTAGACTTAAGAATCCAGGGATAGAAAAAGGCAGAGATAAAATTCAATCCCATGAAAGTGGCTAAATGTATTACTTAGTTGGGAGCCCCGTATTAGTTTTAAAGCCACACACTCAAATTTGATAAATAAAATGTTCAATTCGAAAGCTTACATGTTTGGCTCAATTAATTTTTCAAGATTTTAAGTGGAATTCAAATTTAAGGTATCAAATATTTACTTGAACTAGAAAATAGAGTTTAAATTGAACTCAAATTCGAAATATTTTAGTCAATAAATGCCAAAGTTCCTTGAAAGTTTGGAAGGAGTACAAATACAAATATGTAGAGCACAAAATCTTATATTTTTTATTATTTTATATGTATTTGCACTGTACATATTTGTATTCGTACTCTTACCAAACTGAGCCTTAGCTAATTTAATTGCACCTTATATCCACCAATTGAGCCAATTGGCAAGTTCGAGCCACACACTAGACAAATGTCAACATGATATGGTTATCTCATTGTTTATGACACGCTGAGTTCAAAGGTGATGTAAAAACAATCTTTTCTTTCTATAAACAAAACATAAGACTAGCAATTTCCTAAATCAGTTCTTTAGGGATATTCGATTGAAACTTACCGTTTTGCTTTAGGAGTCTAGTTGGGATTCCTGTACTGGTTTTAAATCCATCAAAATATTCATATTTAATTAACAACATCAGTACATAAGAGATATAATTTAACAATAAATAGAACAGAACCACAATAAAATTCATATATCTGACCCCATAGAGGTAGAACAAGGTTGTGTTTATATTAGTAGTCTAAACCACGTAGCTTATTTTTTCCTAGTTTTAAACTTGAATTGAAAGGATTCAAAATCATAGTTTTAGACTTTGTGAAATTTGGCGAAGTGCAAAAATCTATTCTTGGTATGAAAAGCTGGAGGACAAATCGTCAAATCTGTTGCCTATGGCGGTGGTAAATTGTTCATTTATTTACATTGTTGGTGGTATCATCAGTTACATCATCCAAGTTTCTCCATGGTTTTCAAAATCAGACCTGACTGGACGGTCGGACCAAGAAAATCGGAAATGGATCAAGTGACCGGTTCCGTTTTACCCCAAAACTATAATTTCGCCAAAAATCGTTGATTTGGTCAGCAAACTGCTGACCCGAGCATTCGAACTGTTCAAACCATCTAATGGTTTGGTTGTGTTAAATTTTTTTATTTTCTTGTTAGAACAGGCTGTCCATTCGATTCGAACAGTCAGACTGTTTTACCTAAGAACTGGACCCCTGACCGGTTCGTTGTCCGATTCAATTTTAAAAACCTTGAGTTTCTCAAAACAGTCCCAGTCATATCACATCTTTGGCTGAATTCATATCAGGAGTAAATAAGAAAAAGCAAATGTATTTATGGAAATGCATTTAAACTCTCAAAATAAGGTTATACTTCTTCCATGTGGGGGTATTTGCTTCTTATTTGGAAATGTACTAAATGTTCTCTTAGGCTTAGTTTGGAAGGTGTGTAAATACAAATTTATAGAGTACAAAACCTTGTATTTTGTATTATTTTATATGTATTTGCATTGTACATATTTGTATTTGTACTCCTTCCAAACTGAGCCCTAATGTTTCTTTATTACTTTCATAATGAAATCTTAAGAAAGGAGAACTATTAGCTTAGGTAAGAATTTGGAGAACGTTGTTGGCAAGACTATCCTAATGAAGATATCTGTATTGCCATATTGGAATTTGAAAGACATTGAATCACTGATCTCTGGGCGCATGAATCATTCAGCATGCTTTATTCCGCTTTGTATAGTAGTAAGTTTGTAAATTAAACTGCATTTGGTTGCAATGTAAATGCAAATATATGTACACTGCATATTTATCCTCTTTTCGGTTCATGAATACAAATACAGTTTAGATTTAAAATCTTTTTTACAATCATGTTGTTTGTTTGAAATCAGTGCTAAGTGTGGGCCCCATCATTAAATGCTCCAACTACCTTATGCTCCAATGCCTTAATTTTAGTTAAAAAGTTGATTATCAAAAGAATACGAAATTGTATTCAAAAAATAGGTACAGTAATACTCTCTTCTTAGACTACAAAAATATTAGAAAATACATTTTTGATATGATAATCATTAATTTTTACATGTTAAATAAATGCTTACAAATGCGAACCACAGTACATAAATACCTCGGTTCAGTGTTTGTATTACAAACAAACGGAGCCTTAAGCTCAACTTGGAAAGAGTATAAATACAAATACATACAAACAAAAAAGAAAAATACATACTAACAGAGACGAGAAAATAATAACAAAGAGCAGAAAACAAGCGTGAAAATTTGAGAGAAAGATTTCTTTCTTTCTTGTGCATTCCATCTTAGATATACAACCATATATATAGAGAGAAGTTAGTTATAACCAACTCTCCAGTTCAACAAATGTAACTAATTCTTCAAAATTACAATTTACATTACCCCCCCTCAAGATGAATATGGATATTGAGCATGTTCATCTTGCCTATTAAGTACTGAAAATGCAAAGGTTGCAAAGCCTTGGTGAACGCATCTGCCACCTGATCAGAAGAAGGTAAATACAGTAAATGCAGGAAACCACTTTGAACTTGATCCCAGACAAAATGACAATCCACCTCAATGTGTTTACTCCGCTCGTGAAACACAGGATTATGAGAAAGATAGATCGCAGAATGATTATCACAATGTAACGAGATCGGCAATGAAACTGTAATGCAAAAATCAGTGAGCAAAGAAGAAAGCCACATCAATTCACAAGTAGTGGCTGCAATAGCGCGATACTCCGCCTCAGTTGAACTTCGTGCCACCAAATTCTACTTCTTAGACTTCCATGTAATCAAAGAATCACCCAAGAAAATACATAAGCCAGAAACGGATCTCCTTGTATCTGGGCAACCAGCCCAGTCACTATCAGAGAAAGCCCTCAACTGTGTAGAAGAACCTGCAGAGAAAAAAAGACCAGCTCCAGGGGAAGATTTCAAGTAATCTCAACACACGATGTATAGCTTGTAAGTGAATATCAGTAGGTTTATTCATGTATTGAGATAAAATCTGCACAGCATAAGAGATGTCGGGACGAGTGAAAGTGACATAAATCAACTTCCCAACTAACTGTCTGTAATATGAAGCATCAGCAAGAAGAGTACCACTATCATTGGCCAACTTATGATTAGGATCAATGGGAGTAGAGACAGGTTTGCAGCCTAATTTCCCATAGTCATTCAACAGGTCCAACACATATTTTCTTTGGCAGACTACAATCCCCTTGTCAGATCTTGCAATTTAAAGACCTAAGAAGTATTTCAATGAACCCAAATCTTGCAATTGCAAGGTCTCTAGCTCTAATACCAGAACAGAGATGAGAAAACAATAACAGAGAGCAGAAAACAAGCGTGAAAATTTGAGAGAAATATTTCTTTCTTTCTTGTGCATTCCATCTTAGATATATAGCCATATATAGAGAGAGAAGTTAGTTATAACCAACTCTCCAGCTCAGCAGATGTAACTAATTCTTCAAAATTACAATTTGTATTACATACAAAACACAAGATTTTGCACTTTACAAATTTGCATTTATACTATTTTCAAAATTGAGCCTTAAGGTTTGAGGAAGAAAGATAGGGTCAAAAAGAGAAGAAAGAGAAAATAAAAGACGAGAACTAGAAGCTTTCTATTTAAAAGATAAAATAAATAATTAAACAAATATTTTTCTCTATTAATGCATGTTTTATTAACAAAATCACATTACCTGTAACCATGGTCACAAAGCAATTCAATTCAGTGGACTCCAGTGGAAAAAGAATATCAATTGTTTTACATTTGAAATAGTGACATATTTGCATTTCACTATCAATTGTTTGATATTTGGAACTGTGATAATGTTTTATCTCCATTAACTATCACACGTGGGAATACCACAACCAATGTAAGAGCAAGTGGTGTTGGTTATTAGATCTAAGCAAAGTCTATGGTGTAAGCTAGACCACATCATATTCGGACTCGTCAATGCACCCTAGATTTAACTAACGGTGGCTATAATACAAACAATTCCCTGTCAGCATTTGGTAACTACTAACTACCATTGTACTGTCGCAATGGGGAGTTTGGATCCACTCCTCACACCAACCTTAGAGCATCTCCTAGCTGCATATTCGGAATGTCTCTCGTACTTGTGCTTATTATTTATTAGGCATGACCCCATATTAAGTACGTGATCATTAATCTGAATTATTTCAGTTTTTTTAATTATTTATATTAGACATTTAAGTTAAGCTTTTTATTTGATTTAAGAAATTTACCGTGTTTTATTTAAAGAATGACCCCATACTAAGGGGAAACTACTGTATCATTTAATTTGAAATTGACTATTTAACAATAAAAATTAAATTAGAAAAATTAACATGGGTCTTACATCTTTGTAATTGATAATCTATTTTGACCTAATTTGTTTGGAAATCACTATTAATTTATGTTGTTTTTAATGACTTAAGAGATTAAATGAGATCATATTTGTAAGTTGTAACCTAGTAACCCACTTTAATTGGCATTTAATATTTATTTGATAAATTTATTTTTAAAAGCTAAATTAGGTTACACTTCCCAAAAAAGTTAAATCTAATTTGCAATTAATAAACTATTTCATCTAAAAGAATGAAGCTCACACCATTTGTATTAATTGTTTAGTCATTTTTATGAATTTCATTTATTTTTTATTTTTATCCATTTAATATTTTGAATATTTTTAAGTTAAATTATTTGTTTAATCGTTACTTTTGAAATGATTGTGTTTGAATGAAATTCAGTTACTATCATAACATTTGAAGTGGCCACTTTTAGGGATTAGGATTCTACATGTGTGAATTTTAAGAGTTATCACTTTTTTGTGAGTGGATAAACTTTTTTTATTTTTATTTTTTTTGAAGAATGGATAGACTTTTTTAAGAGTGAGAGTTTAACTTCTTCTAAGATTCTATCTATTGAAATTTTACAATTCCACGTGTCTAAAGTGTGGGGGTTGTTGCTTGAAGACCTTCCTTTAATATATGTGTATAACAGGGTGAGTTGTGGTTGTGAGGTCAATGTGAGGAGCACATCCCAATACTTGGTCCTCATAGTACCTAGCCATGCATTGGGAGAATCTCCCCATGAAAAATAGAACATACAAGTCTAGAAATGTTCTCAATACATGGTTTCAAAAGTCTGTGACAATGGTGTAGGGACAGTTTTGTGTGGACCAAATCTGATGGGACCTGCTCATAACAAACTGTCCCAACAAACCAACAATATCCCAATATGATATGTATCTACACATCTCACTGAGATTGGAGTGCAGACATAGATGACGTTGGGACGTATTGGAACAACTTTGGTGAGCACCGGATTAGATACCCTTCAAAAAAAAACAAAAAATATTAAAACCTGTCATTAAGCCCTGTTTTGTAAATTTCTAACTCAAAAATGCTCCAACAAATTAAAACTTTGGATGGTTGAAAATCACATTCCTTATCACCAAAGCAGCCGCAAAACACCAAAACCCCAAGCTCAAGCAGGCCTGACTGTTCTTACGCAAACGACCTTTTTTTGCAAGGACTCTTTGCAGCATTGCTTCAATTTTAAACACTGGTAAGTTTAAAGTTCTTATTATCTCACCTTGGATTCAAAAGAATATAAATTTGCTCAAAAGTTTCGATCTAGAATTTCTGCACAATTCCTCACAAAGATTGAAATAGGATCGTGTAAGATAAAGATTGTACTCTCTCTTTCAAAGGTGACCGATGAATCAACTGTTAGAGAACCAAGCATATATTTGATTTGAAGGAAAAGGTAACGAAAGGAAGGGAAAGGTAGGGAAACCTATACAAGGTTTGTAAAGGTTTCCCTACTTTTTACTTCAAATTTCAAAATCAAACACAACACAAAAAATCATAAATAACAATAAGAGCGAGGTTCATAAGAGGGAGCGAATAGTTGAAATTCAGGGAAGGGATAAGGAGGTGGCATTTGCTACCACTTTTCAGACCTCTAAAGTCTGAAAATGTTGTTTGTCATATGCCACTTATGTTTGGGTTTGGGTCTGATTAGAAGATCTGAAACCCAATTTCAGATCTAAATAGAAAAGAGTCGGACCAGGTGCTTAATGCGCTAAGGGGTATTTCAGACCTAGGCAAAAGACAAAATTACCCTCATACATTTTTGAAATGACCCGTAATGCCCTTCATATAAGCCAAAAAATCAGGTCATTTGACTCCTCTGGTTCGAGAAAGGAGCACCACTACTGTGGGTTCTGTAGGTATGTTCTTCGACTCAGTTAGAACGAAAAATCAGGTCACATTTTCTTCCATTTTTCTAGGGTTTCGATTTGCTCCTTATTTGTTTTTTTTTCTCCTTTTTCTCTGTGCTTTCATGTAGTGATGGTGCGCAATTTGGAAGCTCTTAGCTGGAAGGTTACCTAGATGATGGTTGCTTAGCGAGCTGGTTCAAACTACAAGAAAGCGGATCAGAGAATTCGGGGTGGCTAACCCGGCGAAGTCGCTCTGATGCTTAAGTTAGTATTGTATTTCTGGTAGCGAGCTGAAAGCTTTAATGCAAGTAAGCTAGTAAGCAAGTAATCGCTCGTACCTTGTGTTATGGGGGTTAATGCCCTTATATAGTTGAGTTGTCGTGAGCCCTAAGGAACCTCTCCGGGATCTTCGGATTGAACAGTAGGAGTCCATTCCGTTTCAGAAGGTGGCCAACGTACTAGCTGATAAGGCTTATCGTGTCCATTCGATTCGGGCGGAACGAGGATAAGGCCTATGGTTACACAGTATGATCCCGAAAGGCCTGAGGACATCTAACGAGCTTCTAGAATCTGTCACGTGTCACCTCGGCGCATGCAATCACTGAAGTGCCCTGGCTTCGGTACTATCCGAAATGACTAAGGCACCTGAGGTGCCCTAGTTCATTAAGGTTGTAGGAACTATTGAATCATCATCTGGCTGGCAGGTCGCATCCACATATCCTCTGTTTATCAGGTCGGCCGAACAACCCCTCATCAATTGCCCCCCACTCCCCGTGCACAAGGGTCCCGACCCGGCGCGGGGAGTTCATGACAAGCCCAGGTGGACATGGCCCGAGTTCTCTTGGTCCAAAGGCTGGTTCTCCGGTTGGACCATATTGACTCGCTTGGCTCGATCAAGAAAACCCAAATCGCGTACTGGGGACGCGCGGGCGTCACGCGATTTATAGGCTTTGCAGATGCCAAAATGCGCGCTCAATCGATCTCAACCTCGCTAAGTGACCAGCATCTAGGTAACCTTCCAGCTAGAAGCTTCCAGATTGCACACCATCAATTGGTGCCATCTGTGGGAAAACGATCAAAAATCCAACCTTCATACCTTACCATTTTACTCATTCAATGGCTTCTACAAGCAGCACCGTGAAGAGCATTGAGATGACCGTGTCCGGGGAACAGGAGTAGACTACGACTAGCCAGGAGTTCCCCATGGTCTGCATCGGCCAGTTCACCATCTTCCTCACTGTCTTAGGGATCCCCACTATATCGACACAGTAGACTCAGTACCGAACACAGCTGTTGAACACTCCACTGCCCTAGGTAAGCACTACCTTCTCCATACTGGAGCCCTATGTGGTCCCCCCTGGGGTCGGGCACCAGCAGTTCAATGAGCTAGTCCAGAGTGTTCGAACCATGTAGTTACAGATGCAACAAATGCACTAGTTCCAACAATTCCGGTAGTACTATTTTTACCAACAGTACCAATAACAATTTCCACCACTGCAGCCGAACCAACATCAGAATCAACACCGGGCCCATAATTAGCAGCAGCAGTAGCAAGGTGTGCGTCGATCTCCTCCTTGGAGTTGAAGGGATGAGAGATCCATCGTATGGATGCCCAAATCTTGCAGAATAAAGGGGCGAATTTCAAGAATTTTTCTCTCCCTTTCAACTGGGAATCGCATTCCCTATTTAGAAAATCATATTTTCAAAGATCAATCTTGAACCATAAACTGAACCAGATCAGAACCAAAAGGAGTAGGAGAGGATTATACCAAATACGGAGAAATAATATCTCCCAACGAAGGTGTTCACGCCCAAGGAAGGATCCAAAGACTGCTCCCACTGAAGATGGCGCAGTGTAGGATGGAGCAGTATCAGCAGTGTTCTTCTCCACGAAATCTGGTCCAGTTCAAAGATTCAATTAATCCTACACTGTATGTGCCTAGGGTCTCACCCTGATAGCTGAGACAGGCCACCCCAACCGACTTGGTGGCACAACAGTGTCAGCCTTATCAGGATAGGTCTCCCCAGACCGACCCACTGGCTGTGAATATTCAAAACCAACACAAGTCTCATTAAGTGTCCAGTTTAAGGGTATTACACAGAAACATACCAAGGGAACATGAATCAAATATGCACGTTTATTCATTTACAATAAACTCATAAAGTACATCATTCTGATTGAAGCCAAGGGCATACAAAACTGTCCAACAGGAGTGTGGGACCCATAGGTCCGAGTCTCTCCCCAAGATTGGACCCCACCTCGAGGTAGAGTTGACGGTCAACGTACACCCCCACCTTCTCAGAGAGGAAACCCGAAAGATAGGCCCAAAGTTAGTCATCACACGAGGACCGATCAGCAATAACACTTGCGGCCTGAGAATTGCGAGCAACAAGTTAGCGACCACCAGCTCGGGGCAAGAGGTGCGAACTCACAATGAAACCCCTCTGCCCCCCGTAATAGCCAACATCAAGTTCGCG